CCCCAAAACCCCAAAACCCCAAAACCCCTGTAGTTGCATATAATATGCCATTTAAAATTATTTACAAATCAATTTAATTAGTCTACTATCTCTAATATTTAATCAGAGAGTATTTTTGCTAGTTTTATTTATTTATTCAAATTCTTGAAGAATCTTGGTGACATCAACCTAATCTTTGAATGAGTTTAATTGATCCATCATTTAGTTATAACCAAAAGCTTATAAGAAATAAGTTATCTCAGATAAAATTATAGCAGTACAATCCCGATCTAAATTATCATCAATTTAAGCAATAAGTGTTTTTAGAGCCTCGGGATTTGATTCATTGTATGGATCCTCTACAATTTTTAGTAATTATACCATAAGCTTATCTTTTATCAAAGGATTAACCTATAAATACTGGTGTATTTGCATCCCTTAGGTACATTGTATATCAGATTCTTTGGTCCTTTTCAATTAAATATTTATCATTTTGGTACTAATATTTTGAATTTAGCCGTTATTATTCTATTATCTTATGTCCCTTATCAATAGTTCAGCCTTGTTAATGTCTGGCTTAAATTTTTTTTCATTCAGATATCTCTATTCTTGTTTCTTTTAAGAATCTAAATCTTTTTCAGCCATATCTTATTATGATTTTAACTTGACTTACTTATTGGTTTTAGATTTTTAATCTATCAAATTTTGATTGATCTAGATCATTTTTTTTTCAACTTTTTAATTATCATAACATTATTCCTTCGATTTCATTTATTCATTATCACGAGTGATTACTTTACCTTATGTTGGTGGAGACTCATTTTTTATAACGATATCATCCTTACTAGGATTAATAATTCCTCCTACTCCTTCAAAAGTTCTTTCATCATAAGTCATTTCGTTCTAGCTCAAATTTTATTTGTTTAAATTCCATTTAAATGGATTACCAAAATATACTTTGTGCAACTCTATATTTTATTCATCAGTTAGATCAGGATATCTAATTTTTTCTCTCTTTCTTAGAACTGCCTCATAATCACTCATGAAATAAATTTGTACTTAGTGATTTTTATCTTGATCTTGAGATTTAGACTACTATTATTGAGATATAGCTTATTTCTTTAAAGCCTGCTATTTTTTATGAAGTATCTGCTGCTAATTTTACCCAATATAAATGGGATCAAAGGTTTCAAGTGATACTTGAGAAAAAAGCCATAGAGTCTAAGGTATCAATAAATCTCTATCATTCATGAGATTATACCCAAAATATTGCTCAGCTTTTTTCTCTATGGACTTTTACTTATTTACTTAGAGATTCTAACAGCAAGAATAGTTCTGTTTGGGTATTTAATGCTCTCTTTTATATTTTTAAAAAGCTTGCTCATGATGTGCTTCTTGCTGTCCAATTGAAAATTTCAAATCTCTTACTGCATTTGCAAGGTATTAATTGTTAGTGAAATAAATCTTGTCAGTAGGTGTGAGTAATAATTCATCAGCCTTTAAGTATTTTAAGTAAGAGTTTAAGTAATCATTATAATATGGGGGAATCTTTTCTATATATTTTTAAAATGCCAGTTTCCACTTTGTCTTTTCATAGCCTTATTATTGGCCTCTAAATTCGTTAATTGTAGATACTAACGGCCAGAACTCTTAATAGTTTAGTGGCATTACATGAATTGAAAAAAAGTAAGGTACATTCATCATTGTATAATCCTCTGTTTTCAATTGATCTATTTATCTCTTGCTTATATTTTACATAGCCTTTAGGAGTGCAAAAGGGTATTACCGTGTTTCACCCTCACAATAAATAAGCCAACCTATACTTTGGATATCATTATCTGTATATTTAAAAGGATCAATTAGCTTATGAGTCAATTACATCACTCGAGCAGGATCATTGAAGTGAAGTACTTCTGCGCAAGTCTTGCTTAATTCTATTTTTATCGGTTTCTCCTCAATAATGAATCCAGGATAAGTACTAGAAAAGTATATCCCCTGGGAATTCTGAGTCATAAATGAAGATGAAAATATTGGTATAGGCCATCTATCCTTGCTTATTTGTCTCTAATCTATATCCTCTAAGTTCATTCTGTGGGTCATATCATTACTTGATGAAATTTAGATCTTCCCTTTAAAATTTTGATTCTTTATTTTCTGGCCTATATCAAAGTATAGCTTAATATAGCTATACTCTTATTCAATTGATGAGTTATTGTGAGTTGAGAGAGATTTTGAGGCATTTTAAAATCTTAATTTGCATTAGATCGAAAAAAGACAATTCTCAGCTAAGTATTTCATCCTGAGTTTAACCTAATTGAATTCATTTATATTTTAATAGGTTCCCCCTGTAATCTCTATTAACTATTTCAAACTAGATAAATCCTTCTTTTCCCTGTAATTAATTACATGTAGTTTTTAGTCCCATTGAAAGGTCTCATCAAATAATTGATATCTTTAGTTTTATGGTTTTAATAATTCCTGAAGATTTTTTAACTTGGGATTTGCTGTGAACAGAATCACATGAGTCGGCTCAATCCTTGTTGTTTAAATTCCATATATTCTATTGTCAGAGCCATAAGAGAACCTGTTGGAATTGACTATCCTCATTATCTCTTTAAGAGTATAAGTGATATTTCCAACAATATCTCTTGTATTATTCGTGTTGAATAATTGATTCATGAAATGCTTGATTGGGTGTTCGCAAGAAGATAGAATAAAGTTATCGAGAGGCTGTAGAGGTGGAGAATTTGCACTATTCCCTAAACTTTGTTGCATTTGAAGATGATGATTCTGCTAGATAATATCTGGTGTTTTAAATAGATAGTATTTATCAAACTTATATTCACCAGATTATCTCCTATGATCCTTAAACTGCTCGATTGCAAACACTGATGCCTGATAAAATGTTAGGCCAAGGTGAGTTTGCTGAGCGGGCTTAGTTGGATCTAAAGTATGAGAGAATCTGAGATTCATTAGTGGGCCTGAGTCTATAATGAACACAAATTTAATCATTTCACTTAATTATTATAAATTATTATTACTTCTATCACACATATTATGTAATTGAGGGGTTTTGGGGTTTTGGGG